CTGAAAATTTTCCCTCCTCTCCTGCTATTCCGGGGTCCATTTCGAATTTCTGGGACACCACTTGGTGCTAGCCGGACCTCATACCTGTGGGATTCGGCAACTTAGGATTCGGCAACTTATTATAGCCATACCGGTTTTGGATATTTTTATTGCTATTATTATTTGGTAGGATATAGCTAATCCTTGTTTTAAAGATTTTAGACTTAATTTCTATGTTGAGAGGCCCAATGTGAGCTAGTACAAATTCATTTGGCATAAACGAGCTGCTCATAGATTTTCTTCTTATACTTGGCTTTTGGTTCGGGGCGGTTTAAAACTATATGACATTTTAGCTAAGAGAAATATTTTTATTGATGCTACTTGCCCTCTTTGTCACCTGGAGGAGGAGAAGAGCTCTCATATGTTCTTTCAATGCGACTATTCTTTTGTTGTTATTTCTCACCTCATGCCTGTGTTGGATAATTTCTTGTTCAGACCTACCCTGCTGCAGTTGTTTGATTTTATTAATGAATTGGGCACCTATAACAAGATGGAGAACAATTTCTATTTTTTTGTGATTTGCGGTGCTATATACTTTTTGTGGAGGGAGAGAAATGACAGAAGATTTGCAGGTTCTCACTCTACCTATCATGTTCTGTGCTGAAAATTAGCTTTGGCTTTTGCTCTGAAATTGTCTGGAAGGAAAAATGTGTTGGATATTTCAAACCCAAACAACGCGTCATTTTAGATTTTTATTTTTATTTTAATTATTGGACGGTTAAAAAACTGTTTTTATTAAGTGTTTTAAAAGTGTATGAGTCCATTCCGAAGAGATGTGTGTTATCCCGTGAAAGACTTAAGGGTTTCGTTTTTGCTCTGTTTTTTGTTCCAGTGAAGACGTCTTGTGAAAAAAAAAAAATTTCTTTTGAGTTTTTCTCTTCCATTTTTCTGTGTTCCGTTTTTTCTTCCATCAAAATGCTGATCTACTCTATGTTTCGTTCCCTTCGTGTTTCGTTTGATTGGCTGGAGAATCGGATTTGGTTTGATGGGACGATGATGAATGGACCTGCCTATTTGCCTTCTCCCTTTGGATGGCCAATGGGTTTAGGTTCACCTGTGGTTTGTCATTTGGCCTAGCATGTTTTATATTGCACCTTGCTTACCACTCGTGCTCTGCTCTGTTGGCAACCAGGGAGATACTTCCGACGTCCCTGCTGGCTTTGGACTTCTGAGCTTTCTTGCTTTGAAGTTTTCATTGTCCTTAGGCGGGTCCGACAAACCTGAGTCCTGTATTTTTGGATGCTATATTTTGGCTTCTCATCATTTTTGGATTTTTTGTTTTAATTTTTAGCAGGTTTTTCAAGATAATTTTTTGTAAGTCTTTATTTTTTTGGTATATTTTAATATACGGGCTTCACCACAAATTTTCCCCAAAAAAAAATATTACTTGTACTTTGATGTCAAATTTTATCTTTGTATGGTTTAGGAGTTTGAGTGCATATTTAAAAGCGCTTTTTTTTTTCTTTTTTTCTTTTTTTTATGGCATGGCAGTAGCATATATACATGGACGGAGCTATAGTGGGGGCCATGGGAGCATGGGTCCTCACTAACCCATGTACCAATAAAAGTTCGTGGACGGCCAAACTCATACATACATCATATATACAATCTTCGAATCAAAGACCTCTTGATTGATAGTCAAAACTCCTAACCAACAACCCAATATGAACTTCGTAATTTCTATAATTTTAAAGCAATATATTTTATTTTCTATTTTTTAGTCATTTTTAATTCTTTGCCCTTATTTTTGCTCATTAATAATTATCCAAGAAATAAAACAATGGAATACATTCCCTGCAAGGCTCAAACTGAGACCATTCTTAATAGGTGTCTATAACTGACAAGCAACTGACCACATCTCAGCAAATTCATAGCTATTAAGGGTAACATGTGAGGTGCTTTGAGCTAAGTTTTCACCTTTACAACCCAACTTGCCTTCTTGATAACTTGGAAAAGATACATTTTGATCTTGATAAGATCTGCTATAACTCTTTGGCAGGGTCAACTACCCCATTGCTTGAATTGTTATAATCCTCTCGGGTTGCTTGAACTTCCTGATCTTGTAAAAAGCTACTAAGCTTATTTTGACATAATTAAAAATGACTAGGAGTTCGTTTGGGGCTACTTTTTCTGCTTCTTAAAGCAGCTTTTTAAAATTTTTTACAAGAAAACTGCTTTAAGAAGCAGTAAGAAAGCCGTCCCAAATGAAGCCTAATGCTCTTGGACCATGAAGGTGGTGCTGAAAAGGCTATAAACCACTACAATCAGTATAAAAACATTACATAACAAATTATGTTAAGTTTGATCCTCTGCTGCTGAGATTGATCTCTCCTGAGAGCTCTCATGAGTGATACACAAGTAGCTACCATGATGCATTCAAAAGAGCACCTTAAAGCCTTTCCTAAGGTCTCTAAACCCATTGATTTTTAAAAACTGCAGCAACATCTTCAACCTATGATAAGCCATTAGAAGCTATTACTTCATAAAGCTCTCTTAAAAAACTGCAACAACATCTTCAACCTATGAACATTTCGCAAAGCTCTGAAAATGCTACAACTTATGTTAGAGAGAAGTTATTCTGATATGACCAGCCTTTGCCAGAAATAAACTAACACTAAAAAGCTATATATGAACTGTTAATCTATTGATTGAATGTAAACATTGTAATTTGGCTTCTTCCAAGTCTTCAGCTCGACTGCTGCGATGTTTAAATTTTGAATATTTCAGTGCTCAATCAATTTTTTGTTTGATTGCAAGATATACTTTCATTGACTACTTTATTTTCGTGTGCCAAATTTGGTGCATCAATTTTATGCCAGCTTCAAGCTTTTAAACTTATTTCATAAATGAAATAACTCAGAAAAGACGGGAGAAATATAACACTTGTAAAGCATCACATCAATTATTATGTCGCATGTTCAAAATTATGAGATGATTCAGGCTTCATTTGGGATGACTTTCTTATTGTTTCTTAAAGCAGCTTTCTAGTACAAAATTTTAAATTTTGTACTATAAAATTACTTTAAGAAACAATAAAAAAGCCGTCTCAAACGAAACCTCAGCCTGACTCAACTAGCTCAGCATTCAACTCGATGCGAGCTAGCCGCAGTCGATTGTTTCAGACAATATTCATAGTAAGAGTAACTATAAATCTGCTGCATGCATTAAATTAGATCATCAAGTAACCAGACTTGGAAGCATATCACCGTGTATTGAATAAGTTCATCTGCCTACATTAATGACTTGACAACATACATAAATGCTTATAATTTCAAAACAAAGCAATCAAAAGTTTTCAGACAATTTCCCCCAAGAGAAAAAGTTTTCAGGCCCAAACTCTCCAACACATGGTGATAAATGCACATCGTATAAAGGAAAGGAGACAAGTAGAGAAATGAGGCAGGTAGAGGGAAAATTATTAGGTCCAGACACCGGACGTAGATATAGATCCGGATATCTAATTAAAATTTGACATGCGGATTGTGCTTTTGGTGCGTTTTTTTACTGCGCTTTACCTGCACTTTACATACGTTTTTGATGCGCTTGGTTTAAAATTCTGCGAACACATTTAATTTATAAAGTAAAAAATAAATTTAATTGAATAGCCACGTGTTAGGAGGAAGGCTTCTCCATGGTAGAAGGCGCTCTCAACCACCACGATGACCTCCTTCTCTCCCTGCTTCTCCCTTTTGCCTTCAAGAATCAATTGACAAGAATTCCTAGAATATTCGTTTCATTCTAAGGATCTGATTTAATTTATATTTTTAAATTTTTAATGAGTTTTTGGTGGGACATTTAATGAAAAAGGAATTTAATTTATACTTTAGTGAAAAATTAAGCTCCAAGGATATTGTGGCTTAGTGCCTTAGTCTATGTTTAATTTAAATTTCAATCTAAATTAATTGAATAGATTTATCAAAGGTCTAAAGAATAATGAACAAATAATTAAAATATATTAAACTTTGTTTAAATTTATTCAAAATAGATTTTAGATGACAAAAAAAAATCATAGTTTTTGGAAATTTATGTAGGCTGATTTTGTATTCATATGATTGATTTCCTATTTATTAATATATGAAAATCATTTAAACTAATATTTGATGTTATCATATGCTTTATTTGCACATCATATTGTCTATGATCATATGAGTATTAGCAAATTTATTTGATACTAAATTTGTACAACACTTCAATAAATTTGCTCAGTCAGGATTTATGTGTTAATTATGGCATTAGTATATTGATTAAGAAAAACAAGCTTGATTATAATATCTTAAATATTTATTACTTAAATAATTTATATATTATCAAATTTATGAGATTCTAAGTAGTTCATATATTTCATTAAATTTATGTAATTAGCTTCCTTAGATCTTAATTATGATTATATGTATAATTATATTATGCTTGATAAATTTCAGCCAAATTTTGTCTCCATTGAATTATTTCTATCTAAATGCATATATAATAAGTCATACTTTTACTTTTATTTATATAATTATGATCAAATCAAAACTTTGCATTAATGTAAGAGTTTATTTTATTAAAAATAAATATACTATGTTTACTACCTTAGGGCATCTACAACCAAAAATCCCATTTTTCACTCCAAAATGCAATGAAACTGAAAAATGCGGTGATTCATCTCCAATCGAATTCCATTTTGCGCGCTTCTGTAAAGGTGTCTTTCTCCTCTTTCGCGCGTTTGTTCGACAAATCTGGTTAAGACAGAAAAATCGCGTAGGTGAACAGTGTAACGCTAATATTAACGTCGCACTGTTCACACGCAAGCAAATAGCAGAAGATTTGGCGTTCGGCTGGAATTGGAGCGACCGAACAACGCCATACGCATGTTTGGCGTTTGATTGGAGATGCCCTTAATGAAGTTAAAACTCTTAGTTAAGAACAAACTTTTGCCAATAACAAATGCTTATAATCTAATAATAGTAGATAACATGAAGGAATGGAGCTTTAATAATATTGCTGTGCAAATAGGATTCACATGGAAGAACTATTCCAGAACTCTTAAATAAAACAGAGTTGCTAAAAGAATAAGCATGACTCTGAATGAAATGGTGAGAAGCATTAGATAAGAAAAACACAATAGAAATTACAAATGAAGGATTTTTCGTAGCTCTCATCCCTTGGCTTTCAGAAGAAGCCTGGTTAGACAAGGAGGTATGTCTAGCTCTCAAATATGAATGTCATATGCTGCCTCCTATGCATTTAATCAATGTATTAGGAAAAAAAACAAAATCAAATAAATTATTCTTTATTAGATATGGCTCTAATGATTTCATTTATGAGATATTGAAAATTAAAAAAGTAAATAGCAATAGAAATAAAATTTTAAATAAAAATGTAATGTACAAAGATAGGTCAAGCAGCACTAAATAAAAAACTTTGCGTATGAAGCAAAATAAATTAGAAGAGGCTACTAAAATTCATAGTAGATGAGAGATGCCACAGAACATTCAATATTAGCTAGAGCCAAGCAAACATATAATAAAATTTTAGGGTATCACAATGAATTCCAAAGTTTACAAACAATTTATTCTCCTTTTCAATGATATTTATTGCTTATTAATAAAGGTGACCTTAATGATATGAAGAAATGATATCAATGAAATTTTCTCCTAAATGGTGGCTACTGGCTAGTGATGAATGAAGAAATGCATTCTCTCAACAAAAACAATGCCATGATATTGACAAAGCTATCAATAAATAGGAAAGCCTTTCAAAATAAATGAATTTATTTGAAGTCAAGGAGGAGCATAATTGGAGTAATGAAAGGTATAAGGCGTGGCTAGTGGTGAAAGGCTTCCAATAAAATGTATATACTTTACATAATTGTTCTCTCTTGTGGTCCTAACTACTATATAATCAATGTTAAGCATCATACAGCTACAAAACACTTCTACCTAGAAAAAATCGTCTTAAAGACTACTTTATTTTATGAAGGCTTGCAATAAGACACTTAAATGTTTAGCCTAATAGGTTCATTGTACTTTGAAAAGAAAGCATTATCTTTAAGCTTAATAAAAGCCTCTATGACTTAACACAAAGCTCTTCACCAATGGTATCAAAAGTTAGGTGGCTTCAATCAAATTATTGACATCCATAGATATAGCGCTAATCATTGCTACTACATAAAGGCACTAGAAAGGATGGTATCACCTTGCATTTATATGCCATTGATCTACATAAAGGCCTAGTTCTTCAAGACGTCAACAGCGGCAAGTTTCGGGAAGAATACCTGGGCTGGAGGAGTGCCGGACGGCAAGAGAGGCGACGCGAAACGGCGGGAGAGGCGGATGGTGACTTGACTCGCGACTCACGAGTGTGGGCAGCCCAGCAGGGAATCGGGTCAACGAGATTTGAAATCTAGGATTTCATGTTACCGCGTTCTAGCGGGTTTTGGTTTATTCTCAGGACTGCGGGTCAGTTCTGGATCAATCTCGAGTTTTCAGGTCAACTCGTCCGACCCGATTTTTGAAATGGGCCGGCTTCTTGAACCTGAACCCGACCTGTTTGACAAACAGTTGACCCTAACTCAAAATTTTTTGGTCAGATTCGAGTCGGGTTTTCGGGTCGTGTCAACTATTGACACCCCTATATATCACAGCGCATGTGTTGGAGCATTTTTGAAATATTTGATAGGTCTTCTACAAAAACTCGTAGGGGTTCATATTTGGCGATCCTTCTATATTTGCTTGTAAGTGATGTGTTGAATACACTATGAGTCTTCTATAAAGGCTTGTAGGCGCTTGCATTTGCCATATGTTTGCTACCCTTGCTCGGAGATAGCTTGTTGTTTGTACAACAAGTCTACTACAACGACCTGTAGGTGTTTGAATTTGTTGTTCATCTTCTACATTTGTTTGTGGAAGACCAGTGTATTTGCCTATGGCTGAATAGTATTAACTACACAGGAGTTGTGTTCTCTTTGAATTATTCAAACACGCCACACCTTTCAGTTCACCGCAAGTTGAATTTCCCTGCTTGTAGAAGATAGATGTATATTCTTCCTACTGCCTTACTATAGGTTGTATGAGTATCTTAACAGTTGTTACAAGCTTTTGCATATGCATTAAGCTTGAACACAAGACGTTGTCTCATATACCTTGCAGCTCTATTGCTTATGTGTGAGTCATGCAATCACTTCAAATCCTTCATCATCCTTGAGAATAAATTGTAGCTTGCATGATGAACTTGCACCGTTGATATTCACTTGCAATCAACTGCATACACCTTTCAGTTTTCATTACTTGCGGATTTCCACTGATAGTAAAGGTGTTATTGTATTCATCATATGTTTCAACTCTTGCACCCTCTATTATGATTACATCATTTATTTGTAAGCATGATCAATCATGGACACTTTAAGTTAACTATTGCTGTCCAAAAGTTTCGTAACATCGTCTCTAGTGAATGAAGCACCCTCTCTTTTTATATGTGTGCGTATTAGATCTTCGTACAATGCTAAGATGCTAAACTTCATATTTTTCTACTACCGCGAATACTCCAGGATGCAACAATTATATTTGAACGAGAATTTTACTCTTAATATTGAGTGCAATATAATGTTGTTATCATCTAAATATATATAAGGGTATCAAAGTCATTTATGCTTATACAGTTGCAACACAGCAGGTAAACAATTATACTTCCCAAACAAATTATACTAATTTATGTACAACAACTTCAAAAAGCAATTTTCTATACACCAACTTCACAACCTATTTTACAGATGGCTGCAAACGTCCCAAACGCACCCTATATTGATTCAGACAATATCTATCCAATAGAACCCTAGATGAGGCATCACAGTTAATGAAAAGGAATCTTGCCTTAGTGTGGAGACTCTCGAATTTGAGAGGGAGGGCAAAAAAAAAACCCAAAGTCTTTTAGACTAGCTCATTGAACCCTTGCAATATGACTGTCTCACCCCAGGTTTTGCATGTCATGAACTAGCCATGTTAATGTTTGATGGAACATGAGAACGCCTAAACACCCTTTAGGTCAATTAATATTTTGCTCATTTAGATGCCATCGCTTACAAAAATGACAAAGAGCAGTTCGTTCAACATGTTATAGTTGATGAATGTGATGATAGGATGGTTTCAGGAATGGATACTATTGCATCCTTCCCCCAGTGAAATACGCCCAATTTTATTTCAGATATTGGAGAGCTTTGATGAGCGTCTCTTGGAAGCTTTTTGACATGATTAACAAATCATGGATGTTTAGCTAGGCTGTTTGCTTTCATGGTGCTTTGTGTGACCTGAGTTGACCCTCATTTTCTTTTAAACAAAGTCAAAAAACATCTATCAAATATTATTTTGCAAAACATTTTTAAAATTCTAAAGCAATATTAACTTCATCAATATAAATTTATTGAAAAACCTCCAAAAAAATTTTTAATTCAAATGCACTTACGTTAGGGTAAGTTTGTACTTCCTCCAAGCAAGTAAACAGTTCCAACCAAAAGGCACTTCTTATTTTTTTTAATTTTGCAATTCATCAATATGTCTTAATAAAATCATGTTTGATACTTTAAATATAGATTATGTTTATTTTCATTGAATATAAGGCGGCAACAATTGACGATGGAGGCTGGCACATAGGGTTCGCCAGCAAAAAGTGTGGGGCTAGCTGGTGTGGTGCGCACTGTTGGGTAGCAAAGAATTCATGTTTTAAAAATAACGAGAGCACGTAAAGTTATTTTGGGTGTTTTAAAAATAACTTGATTTATTTTTTAAAATAGTAAATGATTAAAAACACTGACCAAACATTTTTTTATCTAAATAAAAACAAAAAAAAGATAAATGTTTAAGAATTAAGACAAATAAACCGTAAGAAAATAAGAACGGAAGCAAAATAGGCATGATCAATGTAAATCTAGTAACCTCATCAAATGCAGAGTAGAACAAACTAGGCCTTCCGATGACCCGATTAAAAGAGTAGATGTATTAGATGTAGCCTATGTAAAGAAAGGTGGAGGTTGACCTAAAAAGATTTGATTAAGAAATATTAGAAATAACCTTTTCTTTGTTAGATTTAAATGAGAATTTGACTATTAACATAACACAATGGAGACAGGATTCATGTAACTGACCCCACAGTGGGAAAAAACCTTGATGTTGATGTTGATGTTGTTGTTATTGGAAACTTTTTTTGGGTTTAGTTGTAAGATAACATCATTGCATCAGGCTAACATAATCATCTTTTTTTTTTTGCCCGCCCTAAACATTAATTGAACATAATTTGATTGAATTTTATAGCTATATGAAGAGCTAGCTTTAATGACACTTTTAGGTGGTCTGCAAATTAGTGGTGTCAACCCGACCAGAATACGATCCTAAAAATTCAAAGTTCTGGTTAACCCGTTTTATAAACGAGTCAGGTTCAGGTTGGGTTTTCTGGCATGTTTAATAAACGAGTCAGATTCTGGTTGACCCACGAACCCGCTTTTGACTCAAAAATTATTTGTTTAATATTTTTTATCTTTTTTTTTTTTACTTATGGGTGTAATCTCCTTATTTTTTATCAAATATCTTTAATTTTAAAATTAATAAGTTATAAAATAATTTAATCAAAATGGGTTAACAAGTCGATTTCGAATCATTCAAGTTGCAAGTGGGCCGTGTTCGGATTGGAGATTTTGACCTGTTTATAAAAGGAGTGGGATTCAAGTTAACTAAATTTGATTTAGGCCAATTTCGGGTCAAACCTAAACCCGACCTGTCATCCCATTTTGACACCCCTACCAACAATATTCCATCCTAACACAACTCACCACAAGGTTAGATCAACAAAGAAAATTGCATTTTGGCACCATAATTTATTTTAAATTTGGGAAACAAAATAAAATTTGAAAAAATTAGAGTTAGCATTCATTCACCTGACAATATGCAAATAAATAAGAGGCAAGTAATATCTTCATTCCAAACTATATGGTTTCCATATTCTTAGAAGCCGATCATAGAATGAGCACGTAGCAACAAGCAATCCACTTTTATTTCCATCTTCCACACACGCAGCTCTTTGCCAATCAGCTCCATATGCTAGTGAATCGTGCTTAGTATAAGTTTCCAATATGTTAATATTCTCTCCATCTATTTTCACAATAGCAAAACCATTGTGCATGCATGCCGCCAACACCAAGCCTCCAACCAATGGATGATACTTTAGTCTCCATACTCCTCCTCCTAAACACACAGAATTCTCCATGACAGGTCTAGAAATACATCTGACATCCCAGACCCGAAGAAACTCATCATAGCTCCCTGTGAGTAACTTGGTGGAATCACTGGGGCACTGTGCGATACTGCAGACTCCCATCTTATGGGATTTAGAATTTCGAAAAGCCATTGATGATGAAGACTTTTGCCTCAAATCCCAACAGCTGAAAGAGCAATCATCCGATCCTGTGTACAATAGTTGAGACTGGCAAGCATCAAACAAAACCGTCCAAGTTTCATATTCATGGGCTGACCAGGATTGTGTTATCTGCAACTGGTCCTCCCGGAGTGCAAGAGTTGAAACGCAGCCATCAGAAAGACCTACTGAAATTGAGCTGCCATTGGAGCCCCAATCCACACACAAGCACATAGAAGAGCTGACTTCTTCTTTACAAACTTCTGACAAAGAAAAATCTGAAATGCAAGCAAAATTGTGTGCAAATTAAGTTGAGCAGATAAAAAAACCTTTGTTTTCTATCCTATAATGAAAATTATATATTGCAAGCAAAATTGTGTGCAAAATAAGTTGAATTGACAAAAAAAAACTTTTTTTGTAATCCTTCGGAACTATAGAGTTAATTAAGCAAAATAACAAAATTGATAAAAAACTGGGTAAAAACAGTACGAGATTTGGAACAATTTGCATGATCATACCAATGGGATGTAAACTGTAAAGGGTGAGAAATCCATCAGAAGTGGCCTGGGCGAGCAAGGGATGGTGGGCAATGTTATTGCTTGTGCCATTTGTTTCACGGGAACCAGAATTCCACTTGATATCAAAGATGCCGGGGGTTTGCACGCGATCAAGCAGCTTGAGGCCAGAAGAGGTGGCTGAGAAGAGGGATATGCTTCCGGAGCGGATGGGCTGATTTTCATCTTGCTGTAAAGTGTAGGTAGCTGCAGCAAGGATTTGATGCAATGTTGGATACGGACAGAACTCGACGGCATCGGCATTGCCATCCAGATCGAAAGACGCAATATCCATCACTCTCTTCTTTCTTACTTAATAGTGGAGCAATGAAAAGTTTCCTCAACCTCGAATTGAATTGGTGACGAAAGAGCGATAAAGAGTATGCTAGTGTCAAGGAAAATGGAGAAAGCAGAGAATATTGCAACTCCTTGGCAGAGTAAAACCAAAGCCCTAAACAACTGGAAGACGGAATCTATAATTGGAATAGTACTCTAGGGGCTGTTGGATAATAGGATTTACGCATAATTTAGGCAGGATTTAAGCTAAATCCTGACAAACGGTACAAAAGAACATTCAAAATCCTACAGAATTCCGGATTTAGTAGATCCTCAGAGTGGACAGAATTAACTTAAAGCTGCAAGTCTCACGAAGTCTTCTTCTTCACACACGTCTGGTCCCGTCGATGCTTATCAAGCGAACGCCCATGGCGACTTCCACGCTTGTTTGTCGTCTAGGGTTTCAGGAATTTGGGGAGGAAGACGAGTCGTTCGCATCTAAAATGACTAGCATCATTTATATTTATATTAAGGGAATTTTCATACATACCACTTTATTTCATATTAATAAAAACATTAGATTAATATAAATAATTAAGTTAATTAATTTTAAATATACTATTTAAAACAAAATAATTTTATTAAATAGAATCTATTATGTTTATTTTATTTTATAAACTGTTAATTAATAATTAATTATGAGCTAATTATAATTTGTTTTATATTATTAGAATTGATAGAAAAAATTGATCAATTGAAATTATTAATATTCAATCAAATAAATTAGAAATATATGTTATTAAGGAAATTAAATTAATCCTAATAATTTTTTTTATTTTAAGTTAATTGATTTATTTTTTATTTTGTACTTAATTTGTCTAAATTTATATTTTATTATTTAATTAACATATTAAATTACTAATTAATTATCAATTGAAATATTTTATGAAACTAATTATAATTTAACTAGTATTATTAAATTTGATACATGTAAAATAAATATAATAAGATTATTAAAATCATATAAATCCTTAAATCTTGAAACAAGAAGCCAATTTACATGTATTTAATTATATTTAACATCTATTAAACCTAAAAAAAAAAAGATTTAAGCAATATAGACAAGCATGAAGTAATTATTTAAGATCGAGATCAAAGATTAATAGGAAGAGGATAATGGTCGAGATATACAGATGAGAAGATGTTTGTGAAGAGCCTCATTGTGGGTGGACTTATATGATTTGTTAGGGCATCAATTTTTTGGCCTCGTTTTCTTTGGCATGAATGGTTAATGATTGCATAAACAAACACATCATTAAAGTGAGTGTGGAAGTTATATGATAGTTCTTAAATGAGGAGCCACAAGTCAGCGGGTGATAGTAGTTACTTATTATCCCAAGTTTGCTTACTCAAAGTGGAGATGTCAGATGTTCTAAAGATGATTAGAGAAGACCATGGGCGGCAGGGCAAATTATTGCGTCAGGTGACCGAACGCAGAGATGCGTTCGGTCTCTCTCTGTCTACAGTAACCTGCGCTTTACTGTAGCAGTGCTACAGTAAAGCGCAAGTTACTGTAGACAGAGAGAGACCGAGCGCATCTCTCTGTCAGGTGACCTGATGCAATAATTTGCCCATGGGCAGAGGGAGGCGGGGGCAAGGGGGGGCACGTGCCCCCCTCTAAAAAAAATGAAATTTTTTATTTTTTAATCTTAAGACAAAATTGAGTTGGAAACTTTAAGAATTAAATCGGAGACCATATGAACTCCGATTTCAGTAAACTTATAGTCGAACTGAATGTCTCTAAAATACGAACCTAACAACACCAAATTCAACTCAATCCGAACCCAAATGACTCCAAATCAAAGACCCGAAACATATTTGAAAGGTTCAAACCATAATTTGTTTTACCAAATGGTTTCCAAACATGACATTCTTATAGTCAAATCAAGCGGCTAGACAAGACGAATCCAACGAGCCCAAGATCGCCGAATTCTAATATCACTAAGACATTTAAATGCCCAATAAACGATCCACCATCAATATTGATCATCCATTCAAATCACTCCTAATTTAATTTCATATTCATTTATATTTTTTTTCTTGATTGATATATTATCTTAATCCTATATTGATTTGATCTTAAAGAGATTTTATGATTTTTTTTTGTGCATGAGATTTTTAATATCACATATTTAGTTAATATATTAAACATGTTCTAGCAAAAATCAAGTGATTTGATGATTGAAGTCATTTTTTGAAGGAAGAAAATAAACTAATTCACTATCAAAGTTTTATCATTTTTAATACTAATTATATTGGTCCTAACCCTGGATGTAAAAAGTTGAAGGAAAATTAAAAAAAAAAAAATTAGACCCCCCTTAGATATATTTTCTAGCTCCGCCACTGGAGAAGACGACCCAATTGTCCGTTGAATGAAGTAAAGATTGAAGCAAATGTGATGAGATGACTTAGAATAATTTAGGATAAGATTCAATGACAAATTCTAAAATATGGGTTGTTCAAGCTCAAGCATCTACCTGAGTTAGAAAAAATATGATTCCAAGCTCAAGACAACTTAATGAAAATGTAAACGGCTATAAACTATAACATGAATGTGCTCATCATGGCAACAATGTAGGTCCAAGATCATGGGGCAAGTCGGATTTATGCTATAAGAATATCTATAAATGAAATGGAGAATATTATTACAATAAATATTTAAAATTAAAGAATGAAAACCTTGCATGGTGAATTAAATTTGATGCCACTTCTATGTAAAATTTATAGAGAAAAAAGTAAGTCGGGCATAGTTGAATTAAATTAAATTTGATGTCATGTTGAGAGAGAGAGAGAGAGAGAGATTCCAAAAGGAAAATGAGCCCAAATAATTGAGGTCTCAATAAAGCCTAGATTTATTTTAAAATGAGAATCTAGTTGTAAAAATATCATACTCAAGAACAAGTAGTGATATATGATATATAGTCATGTAAGCATCCAAACTGTCTAAGGTAAAACATCGCATCAATCTGTTACAAGTTGGATGAATGTATAACTTTAGGTTGATATTGAGTGTGATGAGAAGCCAATCGAATCAACCTTAGACCAATAAAAAGTTACCAATCCCTTAGAAATAAAATTATACTTTGCACCAATGGAGAAGTTTGCAAAAGAAATTTGATCGTATAAAGCTAACAAGCCTATCAGCTTAACTCAGGCTTCATTTGGGACTTCTTTCGTAATGTTTTATAAAGCAGTTTTGAAAAAAAAATGTAATAAAAAGTAGTAAGAAAGCCGAATTAATGCTTAACTTAGAACGAAATAAAGCTAAAAATTCAACCAACCTAAATTAGCAGGCTCCAATTCTAGTAGCCCAAACTCTTTTTTTTTTTAAATGGCCTTCCTCTAATTATGTAAGGCTCATTTTTTCACATTAAACATAAATGGATTAGCTTAAAGTTATGAATTTTCTAAATTGTTAGGTTGGTAATACAATCCATAAACTAATTAATTTGGACAAGCTTAAAGGTGTTCAAGTAAATAAATTTTGCACATGTTGAAAATCTCTCTTTTAAGGGAGTTTAATACTAATTAAGAATTCATGCTTAAGTTAGAGCTTCCATTGTGAGAGAAGCCTATCGATAGGACAATAATTACTCCACTAATTGGTTTAATCACCAATGAAATATGAGATCCAACTTCAAAAATAAAGACAAAAATAATCTATTGAGTCAGATATATATGCAACATAGAATAAGGCTTTGCAACAAAGACATTGTCAAATCGAAAATCAACCCCAATCATTTTAGAACAAAATATAAATTACTTTGTTAAAACTCAAGCTACAATGAAATTATAGCAAGAAGCCCTCTAAATTTAATAGGATGGGTACATAAGATTGATTGAAGATGTTAGACAAATCATTTGATCTTTGTTTTTAAACATCATCAACAACAACAACAACATCAAGCTTTTATCCCACTACGTGGGGTCGGCTACATGAATATTTTTTCTCAATTGTGTCCTATTAAAGGTCAAATTCTCGTTTAAATCTAATAAAGAAAGGTCATTCCTAATATTTTCTAACCAAGTCTTTTTAGGTCTGCCTCTACATTTCTTAACATAAGTCAGATCTAATACCTCTACTCTCCTAACCAGGTCATTGGAAAATATCCCACCCTCAAAATTCAATTCAAATAATGACATTTAATGTGGTCTCAATTATAAAAGAAAATGTAATTAAATAAAAGAAATTTTAGCCATAAGAAATATAAACTCCTAAATATAAATAAATCATATTTACATCAATCTTTCTCCTAATATATTTGAAGCTTTTCAGAAACTCCAAAAAAAATCAATGGAAAGAAGAGGAAATCCCAAAACTAGTTTAGTTCATATGGATATAAATTAAAAATTCAAATTTTATATAAAATCTTGAAGGGTTTATATCTTATTATTCAATGTGCAATTCATTTGAACTCCTAATGAGGAACCCATTCAACCGTTTTCATGTTGGAGCAAAAATAAAATTTGATTTAAATTATTTGAGCAACATTTTGATCAAAATGTAATACAATTGTTAATATATTAGAAATTAGGCCTTCAAGATTTGCAAGATAGTTTTAAACGCCTACAAAAATAAAATAATTCAAAAATATTTAAAATTATATTATATTTTAAATATTTTTTTGCTAGAAATATTCTAAATAAATTTTTATCATAAATTATTTTTTATATAGGTATCCAATGAAGGAGAAATTATTATGCGCGAAAATCGAACACAGAACGTCGTCTGGAGACCAACCAGAATACGTCACATCAATAGTACCAAGCAATGGGTGATGTGGCACATTCTGATTAATCTCCGGTTGATACAACAATGGCCACCCAAAAGTAGGGGTGTCAATTCGGGTCAACGGGTCGGGTTCGGGTCGAACCCGGTATTATTCGGGTGAACCCGAACCCGACCCGTTTTAAAAAAACGGGTCAGGTTCTCGGACCCGAACACGAATCCGGGTCAACCTGACCCAACACGAATGACTAGGAGTTGACCCAAAATTGTTAGTTTTCAGGCCAAAAATCAAATCAATCTTCGATTTTCGGGTCAAAAAGGGTCAATCTCAAGTTTATGGGTCAAATATGAGTTTTCGGGTCAATTCTGGGTTGTTGGGTCAACTGTCGACTTGAACCCGACCCGATTTTTAAAACGGGTTGATTTGTTGAACCCAAACCCGGCCCGTTTCGGGTTCGGGTTAACCCTAACCCGAATTTTTTCAAATCGATTTCGGGTCGTGTCAAATATTGACACCCCTACCCAAAAGCACCCTTAGCTTCTGCTTTTCTTCTCCCTAAACCGTCCTGAAGCACTGAATCAGAACAAAGAGAAAGAAAAGGAAAGTGAAAGGCGGCCATGCATCCATGGCCATGAAAGTCTGCTTCAGCTTGAGCACCGCTTCTTCAGAAGCCTCTGCCTTCCACTCCCACCGTCACCTCATCTTCTCTAAGAAAAAGCCATCATCAAACCCGGCCTTCTTCCCATATCCTCATCCCAATTAAATCTTTCCACTTCGAATCAACAAAGAAGAACGAGCAAAAGCAATTCTTCGTCTGCAGATCTAAGAACATAGTGGATGAAGGTAAAAAAACTAAAATCTTTGCAAAGCCAAATGTAACTTCTATTCTCAAGCTAAATTACTTCTGCAGTGCTGGATGTTACCGACGAGACCTGGAAGGAGCATATTATTGACAGCGAGGTCCCCGTGATCGTGCAGTTCCGGGCTCCTTCAGCTGGCCTTGCAAGTTGGTGGAGCCGGTGGTCGGCGATCTCATGAAGGAGTTTGCAGGTAAGGTGGCGTGTTAGGGCATCTCCAACCGAAAAACTCATTTTCCACTCCAAAATGCAGTAAAACTCCAAAATGCAGTAACTTGACTCCAATCGAACTTCATTTTCTAACATAAAAAAAAGAATATTATTAGCATATTCTTTTTCTTATTTTATTTTAAATTTTTTTAATCATATATTTATATTTAACAATTTTAACCCTATTATAATTTTAACCTACGGTTCTGCTCTTCAAGGACGGGGAGCAGAGAGCCAGAGAGAGGAACAATTATTACGTACACAACTCTCCTTGGCCTATTGGTTGAGAGCTTAGGCTTCCAACTAAGAGGTTCAAGGTTCGAGTCTATGTGTATGCGTTGTGTGTGTGAGTTTGCCTTAATTGGCCTAAATGTCCCAAAAAAAAAAAAAAACAATTATTACGTCTTCCGACCGGAACATCCGGTCGCAGGCAAAAATCACGTTGTACCGAGGTGTATCGAGTTTTTTGAACAATTATTACGTCCTCCGACCGGATGCAGAGAAACATCCGGTCGCAGGCAAAAATCGCGCTGTACCGAGGTGTACCGATTTGCGACCGAATGTTTCTCTCATTCTATTGACCGAACCAAATAAAAACTCCAGAGAGAGAGCCTGAAAAACTCGGTACACTTCGGTACCGCGCGATTTTTGCCTGCGACCGAATATTTCTCTCATTCGGTTGACCGAACCAAATAAAAACTCTAGAGAGAGAGCCTGAGTAGTATTTTAGAGAAATATTTATAAGTAATTGCAGATATCCCATGAGCCTTTGAATGAAAAATATTATGTGAGGACATTTTGATATAAATTTTATTAGAATAAGTTTTAAAATTTTTAAATAATCTCAATATAAAGTTAAAAATTATAACAAGAACTTTGAGTTTGGGCAGGGCAGATACGGATCACCTTAAAACAATTGATTTTGTAAATTTGCATATATTCGATCCCCTAAAATTCAAAATCACATTTTTAATAAACATCAAGTGATTTATACTTTTATTGCGTAATTCATATAAATATATATAATCCTTCAAGTATAATTATAATTTTACATCCTATATATTTCACATAAACATCATCACAAATTTTTGTTATATTCCAAATTACTATTCATATATAATTAAAAAATTATCTTGATCAAGGATAAATCTCTAGGCAAAATCAAAATTAAATATGGGGTAATCTGAATTCTGATTTTAGCAAACTAACAGTTGAACTGAACATCTCAAAAATACAAACCCAATGACACCAAATTCGACTCAATCCAAGCCCAAATGAGTCCAAATTAAAGACCTGAAACGCCTTTGAAAGGTTCAAACCATAATTTGGATTACCAAACGAATTTCAAATGTGACATGTTTATAGTTGAATCGAGCAGCCCAACAAGATGAATCCAATGAGCCCAAGATAGTCAAATTCTAATATCATTAAGATATTCAAATGCCCAATAAATGGTCCACGATCAATAGGATCAAAATCGGTCTTTCATTCAAACCACTCCCAACATATCTTTAATCTCCCTCCATGTATTGGTCATGTCACTCCTAGGAAATTATAAATAAACCCCTAATTCTTCATTAAGAGGGGAGGAAGGATGGAAGCAAGAAAGAAAAGGAAGAATAAGAAACTAGAGTTCTTTTGCCACCAGACTCCTCAATCATCTGCGAACCATCGATCGTCGCCCGACTAACACTAGACTTGTGTCCGGTCACCGACTAACAATGGACTTCCACTCGGCCACCGACTGAAGCTGGACTTCCGTCCGGCTTCCAATTATTATTGGACACATGCCCAGCCACCGACTAATGTCGGACTTCCTCCCGAACAATGATTGACGTCGGACTTCTGCCCGACAGCAAACTCATGTTGGATTTACACCCTGCCACTAACTATCAACGGTCTTTTCGACCTTTGTCTTCAGACAACGATCTTTATGACCACTGTCTCCTGCAAACTATTGTTCTTCCGATCTCCGTCGCCAGACAACGATCTTTATGATCATTATCGTTTGCCGATTACGATCATTTCGACCTCTATCGTCAGACAATAGTCTTTATGACCTTCGTTGCCATATAACGACCTTTCTGACCAGTGACCACCATCGCCCGTCAACTATGATCATTTTGACCTCCGTCGCTAGATAACGGTCTTTATGACCATTGTCGCCCACTGACTACAATCCCTCTGACCTCCGTCTTCAGACAACGGTCTATCTGACCACTGTCGCCCGCCGACTACGGTCCTTTCGACCTCCATTGCTAGACAATGATCTTTATGACCACTATCGCCCACCAACTACGATCCTTCTGACCTCCGCCTTCGGACAATACTATTTATGATCTACATCACATGTCAACTATGATCCTTCCAACCTCCAGAAAATGATCTTTTTGACCTTCATCGTCTGCCGATTATGGTCCTTCCATCCTTTGTCGCTAAACAAAAGTCTTTCTGACCATTGTTGTATGTCGACTACAATTCTTCTGGCCTCCCTCGTCAGCAATAGTCTTTCTAACCACTATTGTCTGCCGACTACGGTCGTTCCGACCTCCGTCACAATACAAGTCTTACTGACCTTCATCGTCTATCTATTATGATATTTCCAACATCCATCGCCTAACAATTATCTTTCTGACCTTCGTCGCCTACCGACTATAATCCTTCCTACCACCGTCATTCGACTACAGTCTTTCCGACCTACGTCGCCCGCCGACTACGATCCTATCGACTAAACGAACATGTCAATAATAATTATTACAATTCCCACCATATAATGAATTCTATATTATGTATATTTACTACATTAAGTCAAGGCCTTCCCCTCAAGGAATGGCTTCACTTATAATCGATTGCAAATACTAGTGAATTCATTCAAATTAGGTCAGGCCCCATAATTTTTTCCCTTTTCAAGAGTTTCCATGTAAACACCATGGTGTCTTTTATAAACTATACATCTATTTTATCTGATTGTGTGCTGAATTTTCATACAAAGCTAAGACATTAAACTTTATATTTCTCTAACGCTATGAACATTCGATGACGCAACAATTATAAATATCAACATTTTTTTAAGACATATATTAGAACCTCTATGTAAAACCTAAGGGTGACAATATTTGACCTGACTTAAAATCCAACCCGAATCCGACCCAAAAAATTTTGAGTTCAAGTCAACCTATTTTACAAAAGGGTTAGGTTTGAGTTTCATTTTTTGACCCATTTTCAAAATTGGGTCGAGTTGAATAAACCCAGAAAATCCGAAGTCACCCCCTTGCCCATAGCGATCCCACAGTGATCCCTCCCGTGCTCGTGTATGCACCCACATCCGTACCCATTATTGCCCCTCCCTCCACCACATGTGCTCGCGCCTGGCTACATTGCAGGTTAGTAGGTCGGATCAACTCAATTTCGGGGCGCGTTGAGCTATGTTTGGATTTCTTACATGTTTGTTAAATCGGGTTGGGTCAACAAAAGGCGGGTCAATTCCGTATTGAATCCAAATCTAACCCGAAAACCTATTTTGATACCTCTAATGAAACCCCTACAAGCAAGCACAAGATCTCACATCACAAATCAATTTAAATACAAGAAAAATAAAAATGTGCCATCCAAGTAGCTGAGTACTCACCATAAATCACGCCTAAACTTGCACGTTGACAACAAATGACCTGCCAAAAGTTATTAAGAAAGCATGCTGGTTATGTTAAAGTATGTTCAGTAAGTAAATTCCGACAGTTCATTGCTATAAAAATGTTACATTTGCACTTCTCGACTAAGTATATATATATATGCAAACAAGTACAGTAAACGTTGAAGCTTTTCAAGCAAAGTGAAGCACCATAATCACACTCAAAGCACCTCTTCAAATATATAAACCATAATCCTCTTCACGCTTTTGGCTACACATAAATTACAGCAAGAACTAGTAGTGGAACGATGGTTTACAAAACCCTGTAGGTTTAGAGAAGCTTACATTAACTTTGAGTGTGACGTCTCTGTAATAAGGTCAATATGCCCTTAGCTTGTGTCGTGATGCTGTTGAAATAAGACAATTGGCCGACATGTGAAGCAGCCCTCCTCTCTTCCATTCCTCTCTTATCGTACTAGAAAGTAGAAAAAATGAGTAAAAGGACCTCGTATTTCACTCAACTCATTTTGCTCTGCCACTGTTAAGTTAGAAGTTAAAGGAATATAGAAAACCCTGAGGCATAGAAGCAGTGCTGTATCATTCCTTCCTGATGATTGGATGGGCGAGACAAAGCTGAAAGAAGCTGCTTCTCAATAACTTAGGCATCGTTTGGGACTGCTTTCTTACTGCTTCATAAAGCAGCTTAAAACCGTCCCAAACGAAGCCTTAATTGAAGAACGAATATACAAATGTAGCAATTAACCAGTCATGGAGAGGACTTCCAATCAAACTGCAGATTATCAAAGCTGCTAACTGACCCGAGTCCACGCACCAATCTGTTTCCCATATCTTGTTGCTGGTACTGACTAATTACTGATGGATCCCGAGAAATGTGATTTATTCCAACCCTGCCGTTTATGTTCATAGCATTATTTGTCATGGCTGCTCTTAACCCACTCATGCCACCAACGACACCAATATTGTTAGTTAGAGTGTTGGCTCTTTCGTTCCCAACTAAGCAATTGCCACCATTCAGACTGGCCGGTGCAGAACCAGTCATTGCGCTAACACTATTTAGCTGAGAAGACATCATTTCTTGCAATATTTGCTGTACAGAAGAACTGTGCGAGTCAGTAGGGACACAATTCATGCGAGAGATGTGGGGTGATGGAGCTATACTGTTATTTGAAGTAGGAGTTAGGGAGAATGGAGATGATGAATTGGGTTGGGACGGTGGAATTGAGTTAGAAGAGCTGGCTGATGGGATCTGGTCACTGGCAAATACACCGTTCAGGCTATTCATCTGGTGTTCTTGCATCATTTTCATTGAATTCTGATGGAGAAGGCCTACCATAGGAGTTCCAGATGTTGAGGCCAATGATGGAGCATTATGAGAATTGTTTATAAGTCCAGTTCCATGTGAACTCTGAGTGTTCTGACTTGAGTTCTGCATCACATTTTGTTGAGTATCTTGTTGCAGAGTTTGTTGAGAATGTAAGCCAGGTGATATGGAACTTCTTTTAGGAAACTTCATCAAGCTGTCTGTAAAACAAAAGGTATAGTTAATTGTTAATAAAAATCAGTAAAAAATAATCTTAAAAAAAATGTATATAGATTAACTAGTTAATCAATCATAAGAACATAGCTACCAGACTGCAATAACATTTTTATCAAACATGAACAATTCAAAACCCATCACTTCCACGGAAACTAAGGTTCAGTGCACTGCCAACCATTACATTATATTGCTGCCAATGGAGTAGCGTGGATTAATAATCCATATCTTTTTGGAGGCAACAGAGCTATATGGAGTGAGACTTGAATTGACATATAATTTTCCACACAACTACAACTAGTATTCTTGCGTAAGACCGCATTTTTGGAGAGACCAGCTCACAATGAAGGCATGCACTTAAAGATAACAAAATAGGAACTAACCCATCGGTCCAGTCCCGGTTTCCCTGCTGTAGTCAATCAGATCCTTCATGCTATGAACAACTTCAGATATCTGCAAAAGGAGAGCTTTTGGTAAACCATCTATTGACATAATTGCTCACTTCATAGCAAGCGGTTTAGAAAGGTAGAGTACAGAGTATTAATTGAACATGCCAGGGGAGAAAAGAGCAAGGGAATAAGGCCGGCATGAATGGCACAAGCAGCCAAAAAAATAATCTTATAAGTTTTTTTACATAAAATGCTTAGCAACAAAAAATACTTAAACAGCTACAATATGTACAAGAAACTAAATGTAAATGAGAAAATTTTAAGGTTATTTAGGAAGGTTATAAGTAGCAACCTAATTAAAAGGGGTTTGCTAGTACTAGATAAAGAGTTGAACAGATAAAATTATTGAATTTAATAGATTTAGTGCTAGAGTGATTGCTATTAAAATACTCAATTGGTAGGAAAATTATGAAAAAGCTCGGGGCTTAAGCTCCTCCAAATCAATTAAAAGATAATTTAAAAAATAAATATTTGGGAAGATAAAGATGGTAGACCGGTCCAATCAGTCCTGTATGGACCGGCTCATGAGTAATAGAGACGGAAGAGTTCAGCCTACTGTACGCGCCTTTCAAGCCGCCGGGTCCCAGGGAATTTGTTTAGGAAGGATTTTTGGGGAGTTCAGAGGGAATTTTGAATGAAGTGATTATTTAGAGATTTCCTTTTTGAATGTATGCATTAAATAGTTTGTTTTCCTAGGGTTAGGGCATCTTGAATTTGGCTGAAATTTGAGGTCCCTTAAGTTTTTGGGTTCTAGCGGCGTCTAGAGATTTGGGAGAGAGATCCTCCTCTCGAATAGAGGATCAATTGTATATTAGTATTTTCGGTTTCTATTTCATCAAATAATACAAATTATCTAGTTTTTCCTTATTTTGTGTGGATTCTTGCAGAGAATTTTTGCTGTTTTTCAAAGATTGATAGGAAATTCTTCAGATCTTCAAGTGTTTCCTAACAAATTGATATTAGAGCGGTGTCCGGGGGCTGTTTGGGCTGATTCATGCCGCAGCTTTTTCTGCTTCAAACAGCTGTTTTTAACATTTTTTGTGGTGGAAATCCGAATTTTCGAGCCTAAGCAGTGTCCGGGACTGTTTTGGGGCCGTTTGGGCTGATTCCGGCAACGATTTTTCTCCTTTGAACCATCGATTAAAAAGGCGTTCGAGGCGGACGCCTCGAGGCGGAGGTCGGACGAACTGAGGCTTAAGCCTCGAACGTCCAGGCGAGGCTTACACCTTTTTCCACGGAGGCGTACGCCTCAATACGTGAGGCGCCGAGGCGTATCGAGGCAGCGCCTTGAAAGGGAGAAAGTTACCTTCAAAGCCAACGAGCTCCCGTTGTTTCTTCTTATCAAAATGTCGTAACTTATGATCCGATATGAAGGGAAAGTCGTCGAAGGAGCGCAGTCGAACAGCCACAAAGGAGCCAAAGAAGCGACGCGTGTAATCTCTACAACTCCTATGAAGCAACGAAACCGAACAACAAGGACGAAAAGAGAAGATGAAAGGCAAACCCTATACGCAGCTAAGTTATTATTGATTAACTTAATTAATATAATTTAAATATTAATAATTAAGCAAATTAATTAAATACTTAATAGTATAATTAGTGCATAAATTAATTGACTAATTAGTAATATAATTATTAATTAAATATTAATATAATTAGCCTACTTAATATAAATTAAAATATATATTATTAAATATATAATTAATAGTATTAATAATAATTATTGAGTAGCTTGTACCGCTCAGTTCATGCTCGGTACCGAGCCAGAACCGCTCGGTACTGAGCAATTATATGCTCGGTACTGAGCGGTACATGCTCGGTACCACTAGGTACACGCTCGGTACCAAGCCAGTACCACTAGGTACATGCTCGATATTGCTCAGTACATGCTCGGTACCGCGCCAATACCGCTCAGTACCGAGCGGTACATGCTCGGTACCGAGCGGTATATGCTCGGCACTATTAATTACTTTATTTTTATCATTTTTTAGGCTTACGCCTCGATCCGCCTCGAGGCTTAAGCCTCGCCTCGCTTAGCCAAAACGCCTCGATTCCCGATTTCGTCTTTTAAAACGTTGCTTTGAACAGTTGTATTTGCTGCTTTTGTGGTGGAAATCCGAATTTTCGAGCCTAACAAAAATCCGGGGACTTATGCGGGAAGAAAGGTAGAAGTATTGGAAGGGGAAATCGGATAAATGAAATCTAAAATTTCAAATCTCCAAACTCAAGTTTCAGATTTAAAAAAAGATATTTCAGCCATACATGATAAGTTCGATTTGAAAATATGTTGAAAAAAGTGCCCGAGGGCCAAATCAAAATATCGCCTTCAGAGGTGAAGGAAGGCCCCGACAACCAAGGAAGTGGGGAAAACCCTAAGCCGATTAGACGAAACGAAGATCAATATGTGAAGATTTTGGAGGGAACAGAAAATATGCCTCCCCTAGGGCTTCCAAGGGAGGAGTCGGATAAAGGGTATGTGGAGAGGCGTGAAGGGGTTGGGCATGAGTGGAGGGGTATTGAGATTGAAAGAAGTGTGGCTGAATTTGATAAGCGATGAGTTGATTATGATCGAAGAGGTGTCAAATTTGAAAGGGGAGGGGTTGAATATAATCAAAGAGGTGCTGAATTTGAAGGGAGAAGTTGGGTTAGTGAAGAAAGGTTTGGATGCAAGCGGAGGAGGGATGATTGGCACAATTGGAGGGAACCACCCCCTTGGGGAGTGGGAAATTTAGGACAAATCATGGTTGAAAGAGGATATCTGAGAGTGAGGAAATTGAAGATGCCTATTTTTTAGGGGGAGGATGCACATGGGTGGATCTACATGGTGAAAATGTACGTTATTGTCAATAGGTTGATGGAGGAGAGACTGACGGCAGCTAGCCGATGCTTGGAAGGGAAGACTTTGGCTTGGTATCAGTGGAGGGAAATGCGACGACCCATACAAAGTTGGAGGGAGTTCAAGGTTGCATGGTAGAACGATTCCGAACTGGAAGAGGAAGAGACTTTTACGAGCAATTCTTAGCCTTGACACAAGATGATTCAATGATAGAGAGTATCGGGAGAGGTTTGAGTACATTGCTAGCCAATTGGACCGCCTTTCTGAGATCATGCTAGAGGGGAAACTTTATGAAGGAACTAAAACCAGAGATTCGCGCGACAGTTAAGAGTGAATTTTTGTTCCACCTGAACAACATGCCCATAAGATTGCTTATAGTTTTTGTTCCACCTCAGCAACATGCCCATGAGATTGCTTCATATTAAAAACTTTAGCGAGCTCCCCATAGAGAGAATAATTACTCATCCATTTGCAACAATCCACCTAATTAATGACAATGGAGAGAAGAGAACAAATAAACTTAAGTCTAGCATCAAGAGAGTTTGAAAGTAGTCTATGTCATGGACCTATGTATATATCACCACCAATTAAGTAAACTCCTTACATATCCTAAGAATAGAAACAATAAAAAGATAAGCAAACCAAACAAAAAAAGAAAGATGCGGATGTCAATCTGGGGTTCAATTTTGGGTGAATGTTCAATCATAATAGATGAAAGGGATGGAAATGCTTCAATAGAAAACGGACATGGCCATCAAGCATAAACATATGAGGAATGAACAGCAAACACAAGCATTATAAGAGGTAGAGAAACATGGGAAGTGCTGATAGAAGATGAAATGTGAGAGCAGGAGATAGTTCATGAAAGGTAACATTGACAAAAATATATCCATCTTGTAAATGAATCATAGCATTGATAAACTCTCTAAGCAAAGGAAAACTTAGGAAGGGGCTAAGGGAGCACAAGCCACCCTAAATTTTAATATATCTTTCAAATAGATAAATACTAAGAAGCCATTATTGTTTAATATTTTAAATGATAAACATTCAATTTGTGCCCCTTCCAAAAAATAAACGTAATTCATATGCCCTCATTAAGAAAAACTCTTGGCTCCTCCACTTTCTCCAAGTAAGAGAATAGCCTAAAAAATACGTCGAATGGCAGGAGGACAGAGCTTATCACTAACTGGGCATAGAAAGTGAACCAAGGAAGCACATTTAAAAACTCTCCAAGTAAAGAGATTTGTGGGGATAATGAAGTAACATAACCAAAAATAGCAGGGCACAATTAATAAAGTAGTAGGAAATGAGGATGGCATCTCCCCAAACATGTCACGGAGCATTTTTAATGAGAAACATTAAGGTTAGAGCAACTTAAAGATGATACTAGTATAACCACTTCATTTTGTTGGGATGTATTTGGACATCATGATTAATAGATAATACTGTTCTCAGCAGAAAATGAGTGAAAAGGAGATTGGATATATTAAAAGCACTATCAATACGATTGATTTTAATTTGAATATGTAAATTTGTATTTATATAATAAAAGTTAGAACATATAGAAGACTTCTGACCATTACTTCAACAAGAAAATCAAAGTAACCATATTGTGGTCATTCAACAACAACAACAACATCAAGTCTTCATCTCACTACATGGGGTCAACTACATGAATCCTTCTTCTCCATTGGTGAGGTCATCCATGAAGGAAAAAATAACAAATTAGATATCTAAATTTACCAAGGGTAATGGTGCAGTGCTACGTGAAGAGGCTAATAAGGGAAAGGGAACGCGATGATGTGTACCATAGTCACAGGATTCACATCCAAGTTTTGAAACAAAGGATAGTACATGAGTGAAGCCCCAAAGATGGTGAGATTGAGGATGGCCTAGACAACAATGACACTAATGTGAGAAAATAGAAAAGGACAATGAAGTCGAAAAAAAACGACAATGAGATAATAAATACCTCCAATTTAAACATCTCCATCAATCGACTTCATGTTGAGGTCCTGAAACCATAATAAGGATAAAGGGTTATTGAATAGTTTTTGTAAGACAATATGCAGACAAAAGATTTATAGAAGATTGTGAGACATGCAAATAGTGTCTATTATTCATGAGAATGAGGGATGGAAAAATCCTTTTCCAAATATCAAAAGAAGGAGACTCATTACTAATAATAATGGGGGAAGAGATGTCATGATAAGTGATGAAAATAATTATCGGTTATCTATCATATGAGAAGTAGCACCAAAATTTTAAACGCAAGAAAAAACTAGAATGAGCAATTGAGCAGTTTTATTCAAGCCAATGAAGGAAACAACATGAGATGATGAGATGTTCAACTCAGAATGCAATAACATGCACTCAATAACATGCAGTCATTGTCCTCTTGGAAACAGTTCATTCAACCTGAAGGACACAGGTGGAATTATGTAGAACAAGAAAAAATGATGGAGAAGACATGCTAAGTTGATACAAGATCACCAAACTTTTCCTAATAATAATTGGACAAGTGAATTTTCCTTGCACGCATTTAACAAGATGAAAGAAGTTCCAACCACGATGATTATTTCAATGATAAGAACAATCTAATCATGATTAAAAGAACACGGAGCAAGTAACTAAGGATCTAAAGAACCTAGGAGAGAGAAGTGGAGATATTTGTGGCAATAATGTTTTCCTATAATTGAGCTTGAAAAAATTATAGGAACGAAAAAAGCCTAGAGCAATTTGACAACAAGGAATTCCTTATTTTTATTTTATGCTTTTTTCAAGTAGTTGAATCATGGATTAATTAGTAACAACATTAAAAAATTTCAACCCATTTTTCCTTCAAGTTGTAATGCTCCTGAATAGAGAGATGGAGTGCATGCACAAGAGAGTTTGAAGGTAAAATAAAGAATATCCCACATCCCCTTTGCAATATCTTGAAACATGATGGTAGATCAATAGTGGGTTCAAGGTTATTGTGCATCCACGTAAGAATAGAATAGGTGAAAGCTTGACATTTAACATATTTGGTGTTGTTTGACCATTCTAGATGCAAAGAATGAATGAGTTGCTCACGATATCCCATGAGAAATTAGAAATTTCTAGACCATAAAAGATATTTAGTACCATTAAGTTTGATGTACAAACTATGGATATGAGCTTCATCTTAAGGAAAGGAAAGAAGAGAGGCCCATGGATGACAACACTAAGAATAAAGAAAAGGTAATGGTTTTAAAACAGTAGATCTAGAAACTATGGCAATAGTAGGCAGGCATACGTGTAGTTGTTGGTATGGGTGAGTGCAATTATAGAGATAGGAGAGTGCAGGCATGAGAGATTGCAGGTTAGCAAGACCAAGGCAAGGCTTGTGAGTATGGGCGGGCAAAAGTACTCACGCATAGGAGCAACATTAGGTACTTTCAAAGAAAGAAATGAGAGGAGAGGTAGCAATGTCTATGATCAGGTATAACTCTTTTTTTATACCATGTGGCAGAGAAAAGTACTTTCTTGTGTTTTGCCCGCTAGAGGACCCTCTGAGAGGAATGAACAAATAATATAAAATAAATACAAACAACACAATAAATATAGCTTTCTTTCACACTACCAATAACTACGAACCTTAAATTTATAAAAAATTGAGAAAATTACTTATACATTAAGGATATAATTTTTTGAAAAAAAAAAGAATAGAGTATAATTGACGATGCAAAACGAACATTATAGGAGTATTGTTTGAAAGACCAATTTCAATGACCCTAATTTAAATGCATAATTAGACCTGCATATAACTTTTCATCAAATTATAATAAATTAGCATAGCAAGTGAAATGTATTGTATCACTCCATGCAAGCCACCAACAAATTAAATATTGATGTGATTGATCAAAATGACTCCAACAATTTGATCTCACTTAAATTAAACACTCATTATCATAGTCAAAATTAGCTTTATCAAACTATTTGAGTTCCTATTCACAAACCATCCTTTTCCGCTAATTCTTACTAATTTATTTGAAAATGGAAAGAAAGGATTACAATTTTCTATCCATAATGACATTACGCCATCAAGGTTGTAGATTGTTAGAGTCTACCCGTAGGGTCTCAAGAGTCTGAGTTACGGGTCTCAAGTCTGAGTTACGCCATCAAACCTCCAAATCCCATCCAAAGTGCAAAATAAATATTCAAGATTTCATCATGACACAATATTTGGTTCAAAAAGTAAGAGATTTGTACAATAAAATAAGGCACTATCAACCTAAATTAAGAAAAGAACCTAAATTTTGATATCCAATATTTTCTTTCTAGACAAGATACATGACGGGTTTCTGATGGAATATCTTGCCTATTTTATAGAAAGAATCATATTTTTCAATAGTTAATGAATTATATCATTCATATGAGGATGCCCTTGATGAATTCTTTTTCGCCAAAATATGCATTATTGTCGTCCAAGTCACAAGCAGACCTTGTAAAAGCTCATGAAAAGCATATTAGAGATCAGTTAGAGTTTGAATGGTAACCATCATGGCTCATTTTGCATAGTCATCAAAATCATTGGCCACATTGCATTTCTGTTCATATTTTTATACTCAAATACTTAGCTTTGGGGGGTTCATAGAGTTTAAATCCATTTTAAATTTTGATCACTTCTGATTAAAGGTAAAAATCTAACAAAACTTATCTCCATTTGTCATTTGCAAATTGCAAGTAAATATTCCCTAACCATGATCAGTTTCATTTAGCATAACATATGGCGTTCTGGTAGCTTCACTGGAATATGACAGCACAATTAAACTTTTTTTATTTAAAAAGGCTAGAATGAGTGGAATCTAAACATAACCAAGCACTGACGTGATTGCAAAACATGCGCTTCAGGAAATACCTATCGAACACACAAGATCACAATTAAATGTGGTCTCATCAATAAAAGGGATAAGCATCATACCTGCAGGCAACGTACATATCTTTTTGTATATCCCAAATCATTAACCAGTGGCACCTCCAAAGCTTTAGCTAACTGGCGAGCAGAAGAAACAAAGCTGCAAGAAGATCCAATCAACATTTAAAAAAAAAAAAAATTAAGTTCACGCTATTAGAGCCCAAACATGGCAAGTCATATTTGTTAAAATAAAAAATGGATGCTTACTACAGCTTGTTTACCTTTTTTGGGTTGTTTTGTATATCGTATACATTTTTTCCATATATTTTCAAATAACATCTAATAGTCGTTTCAAGAAATAAAATTATTTCAATATTATCATTTGCACTATTTCTATCTCAATCTAACAATTTTCTGGTCACATCTCAAAATTTGAAAAATGTATACGATTCTTACGAGATATTTGTTTAATTCTCTCAATCTAGTTATTGTTTGATAGTGTTACATCCCAAAATGATTCCCCAACCATTCATATGTGGACAATTTAGCCTCTTGGCTATATAAATTAATCCAAATAGTCTCTCTGATGGGGACATCAGCAGCGATTTCGACACATGTATCTTCAGGAGATGCCGGAGATCGACGACCACGATCATGATATGTATTTTCATCATTTTATGTAGTAGTTTATTTTTATTTTATATTTTTTTCGTTTTTGCCCTTATGGGTATTTGGTAGCTATTGTAGCCCAAGGGGCATTTTAGTCTTTTATTTTCTTTGTCATTTGGTGGCCTATATATATATGGCCCTTTTCTCATGTAATACAAAGTTTTTGGAAGAAATGAAAATTTGCTCTTTGTTCTCTTTGTGAGTTCATGAAACCTCTAAAGATCTCTTTGTGAGTTCTTGAAGAGGAGACCGTCGGAGATCTCTTTGTGAGTTCTACCGGTGGATTGGTGTTCAAGGTTTTTCATTTGAAATTTCAAATTCTGTACGACTGGATTCTAGATTATGTGATTCTGTTGTATCTGCTCTGATTTTGTTCTGTTCGTTCTGAATATGTCTGATTTGATATCTTTTACGATTCCGTTTCCGATTTCTGATCTCTGATTTTCTGTCTGCATTGAGTTTGTTTTGGAGTCTGAAGAATTTTGATTTGGAGGTTTGTTGCTGTTCACTGCTGAGCTGTTGTAGCTCACTCTTGTTTTTTGGTGGTTTCAGG